TAGAAAATTAATTGGTCTGATGAATCGATAATCAGTAAAATCATTTTATCGACCCATGAGAAATAGCGCGAAATTTAAATTATCGGCGAAGCCTATTAAAATCATGTAGTAGAGAGAGAGGGTCATAAGTAACGTAATAGATCTGAGAGAGAGAGTTATTGTGATGATCTTGTTGCCATGACGACTTCCCCACGCAACCCACCACAATAGTGGTGGGGGATAGCAAAGTGGGCGGAGTCAAACAGTATAAAAGAGCTGGATTTTGCGGAGATCGTCACTTCACTTGTCTCCGAGGTACTAGACCGACGAGAGTAGTAGCTCACGTCGTACAATACAGAGTTGTAGCTCTGGCTAAAGGGTTGTAGCCTTTTAGTTTCCCCGGAGAGTAGAAGCTTTCCGAAAATAGGAATTGGAGGGTTGTAGCCTTCCAGCCAAGAGTTAGTGCTCTTGGTTTAGCTAGCGATCGAGAGTTGGAGCTTACGATCTTGGACCGTGTAGGAGTCGAAGCTCCTCGCCGACGAGTTGTAGCTCGTCAGCTATTGAGGCAAGGTTGAAGCCTTCCCTCGAAGAGTTGTTAGCTCTTCGAGTATCCCGGACGAGTTGTAGCTCGTCTACACGCAGTTAGGCCGTATTAGATTAGAGGGTGAAGAGTTGTAGCTCGCACCAGTGTCCCGAGAAGAGTTGTAGCTCTTCATCGACGAGTTGGAGCTCGTCGATTACCGAGGCAAGGTCGTAGCCTTCCCTCTGAGAGTTGTCAGCTCTCAGAGTATCCCGGTCTGGGTTGTAGCCCGGCCACCTAGGGGTTAGGTTAAGGGGTAGACACTTCTGGGTGGGATTTTAAGATAGCAACTCTCTCTCTCGAGTATAACGGCACCTAAGTGAAAGTTTACTTTGTAAAACTGTACAATTGGAAATCTAGAGTAGAATAAATATATAATGTAAATTGTTTATATAATAAAGTTGAAATTGGATTTTAATTTGTGTCTAGAGAATTCACTTTGTAACATATCCGCCATCGAATCCTGGGCCATAGAATTTAAATAACTTGTTAAATTTAGGCGGGAATTTTCTTGGGGACTCGCCTTGAGAAAATTTAGGTGTTACAGTGTATAACTTTGACATCACCGTTTTATTAAGGCTGGGCTGAAGTCAGAAAGGCGACTGATTCCCCCTATCCAAATACATGGGATCGGGAAATTTCTAATTTCTTCGCCAATTTACCATTATTTCTATAAAATTAGGTACCAAATTACAGAGGAATTGATGCCGGACTGACGTAAACAACAATTTTTTGTATATAGTGAATATTTTTATTGAAAAAATTAGAAAGAATAATGAAAAAATTATGAATTGACTTGCCGCGCTTAAATTTCAAGATGGCGGCCACATCATTCAGATGAAAAATCACTAATTATTTCATTTTTATACGTTTTTCGCCCAAAATTCGTGTTTGCGTCAGTCCTTGCCACCTGTCTGAATGTTAAAAAAATCAATTCATAGTGTAAAATTGAATAATTTAGAAATAATTAGAAATCTTGTATTCCAGATGATATTCTCCGGAAAATTAGTTTGAAAAAATTCTGATAGGTGACAGCATTATGCTCGCAGATGACCTCAGTCATCCATATTGAAAAAATGCTCAATCCGTATCCAGAACTGATGGTGCCCTGCATTTTGGCGAGTAAATTCTGTATGTGTGTGTACGGGTAATATATGTATGTGATGTAAACATAGTGTATCACTTTACAATGCCCTACACTTTGATGACTATTGCAGTTAGGATAAATAAAAATGATGATACTCATTTAACATTAATTAATATAATACCTGCAAATAACTTCAAATACATATACTCATCCATTATTATCATTTTTATTAGGTATAAATGTTAATAAGGAAGCTCAATTCCAAGTCGGCGTATCCAAGCATGTAGTGTAAAAACAAATATACATTAACTCAATATCGAGATTATGCTGGCCATGTGGTTAGGGCGTCAGAGTTCTATTTTGCCGGGCAGGGTTCGATCCCAGTCATAACCAATTTTTTTTTTTCTACTTTATTCGTTAGATTAGCATGTAATTATAATATTGACATGCTATAATTAATCTTTTATAACAATTTGATTTTTTTTTCTCTTTATTCATTGAATTTATTGACGCTAAGTCGAAAAATATTTGAACAGAGCCATAAACTTTCTTTTTGTATAAATACATTGATAATAGCCTGTGTTTAACAACTTATACATCTTTACATGTATTAACAATGTTATGTTATTAACAAGTTAATCATATTATTATTAACATTGAAAAGTAGTTTAAACAATCTGTGGCGAGTTTCGGCACTTTCCCGGCAAGTTCTACCCCCACTCTCTGTGCCCAAGCCTGCAGCTTATAATTTTTAAGCGTATTGAAACCATAACAGCTCAATGGTTACAGCATCGGTCTTTTATTTTGCTAGGCAGGGTTCGATTCCAGTCATGATAAAGTTTTTTTTTCTCTTTTATTTGTTAGATTTGCATGTAATTATAATATTAACATGCCAAAAGTAATTGTTTACAACGATTTGATTTTTTTTTCTCAATTATTTATGTAATTTATCGACGCCGAGTCGGAAAACATATGAACAGGGTTATAAACACTTTTTTTACTATAGCTATATGAACGTAGCTTTTTTTTAAGCAATTTAGAAATATTTAGAAGTAGTTGAAATAATCCACGGGGATTTCCGGCACTTTGCCGGCAAACTCTATCCCTACCCTTCGTACTCAAGCCTGCATTATACAATTCATAAACATAAACATAATGTCAGAGATGATGTGTTAGCTCTGTGAGTAGAACACTAAACTTTCATTTTACCGATTAGGGTTCGATCCCAGTCATAGCCAATTTTTTTTTTCCTTTTTTTTTCATTAAAATTTTATATAAATACAATAATTGGTTGTTTATATAAGTTCAAAATCAATTCCTATTGTCTTTTAAAGACAACACTTTCGAAAAAAGAGAATTCATAGTAACTCGTTCCTCACCCTCAGCTTATTTTCAGAAAAACAAGTTGTTCTCCGTAATTAATTGGAAGAATAATTTAATCAAATATATGAATTAATTTATGAGTATTTAAAGTCACTTAAGCAAAAAAAAGAAAAAACAATTGCCTATGACTGGGATCGAACCCTGCCCAGCAAAATAAAAGATTGGTGCTCTAACCACTGAGCTATTATGGTTTCAATAATAGTGAAGATGCTTGAAAATTATAAGCTGCAGGCTTGGGCACAGAAAGTAGGGGTAGAGCTTGCCGGTGAAGTGTCGGAACTTGCCGCGGATTGTTTAAACTATTTTTTATTGTTAATAAGTTGTTAAAAAAGGCTATTATCAATGTATTTGTACAAAAAAAGGTTAATGACCCTGTTCAAATATTGTCTCATTTGTCATCGATTGATTGAAAAATAATTTTACATAAAAATTGAAATTTAAAACTCATTTTCGGCATGATAAAATTGCAATTACATGCAATTTGAATTAAAAAAAAAAAATTTTCCGCAATTGGAATCGAACACCGTTCGGTAAAATAAATGTCGAATCTTCTGACTACAGAGCCAACATATTTTCATTTGCTTTGTTTACGTTTAGATATCATAAGCTTCAGGCTTGGTAACAGAGGGTGGGGGATGTGCTTGCTCGTCAACTGTTCGAACTCGCAGTCTTCTCTGAAAAATAAGACGGAGATAGATAGATATATTCTGTGCTCTGTCTTGCTCGAAACAGATTATTCAAAAATTTGTAAATTTCTTGGTGCCCTAAGGCTCCCTTTTTGTAGTGCATCCCTGAAAATTATCATTTTTCGAACGATTTCCCTGTTACCTACTCAATTTCAGTTGATGTCAAGCTTCGGCCTTTTGCCGCACAACGCGAGGGCGTAAAGTCAACTCCGGGAAACTTTCTGACTTCAGCCCAGCCTTAAAGTTCCACGTATTACAATAACGTTTCTAATTGGAATTCACCTATATCTAGAATTCTTTGTTGTACAAAAAAATGCACCAAGCTTTTCGAGATTTCACTTAAAGCTTCTTACAAAGTCATCTAAGTAAACTAACAAATTTCTTACCATTTAAGTCCAGAAGAATCAGACGATCCATCAAGATTTAAGGATAATTTTCCATGGTAATGAAAGAAAAATTTCTTTATGTCGACTTCATCTCTCAAATTCAATGAATAAATAAATGGTAATAGTCTAAAAAAATTTCAATGGTTTTTATTCGCTACTGAATATGATAACTTTACAAACTTAAGCGCAATTTACTTTAGATATAGTTCAACTCATAATAATTTCAATAGATCTCTACGTGAACTTATCCATGTAGTCCAGTTAATGGGAGGTTTAAATCACTATTTTGGGTGATTAAAGAGACTGGAACGTAGGATTTAAAAAAAAATTATTTTACAGTTAAAAAAAAAAAACACATCAGAGCACTTGTTTATCACTTCGACAATATTTTCTGAGGTTTTTTATTTCAATGAGCTTTTCATTAATTAATATTAACTTAAAAATTTCAAATTATTGCATAATAAACAATTTTATCAACTTTCGCAACATTTTGCGGAACTAAAATGTCCGTGACATCTTTACGAGCATGTATGCGAATTGTTGTACCTCCATGATGACCGGAAGTGATTTTTTTGGAGTTTGTGAAAAATAAAAACATGAAAAAAAGATCTCCTCTTCGAGAAATAAAAAATCATATCGTCAATAAAATTATTTTAATCGAGCTAAAAGTTTGTACACATGTTCTCGACATCTTTACAAACAAATTTTCGAACCTTTGTGATGACCGGAAGTCGTCTATTAGATTTTTTAAACATTGAAAAAATGAGAAAAAGACAGCGTTTTCAGAGAAAGAACAATTATATCTTTTTTTTTACTGACTGCCAGCAATGTGATCATTTTGCCGAATATTGCTTAATAGATAGTTGATTGGAATGTAAATAAATGTAACGAATTAAGAGTAAGCTTATGAATTGTATCTTTATTTAATAATTTTTGCCTTTTTTATACTATGCAACATACTTTGAGTGACTTCCTATTTCATATAAAATTTTTATCCATAAGTTGACCTTTGTTTTTACGATTTATGCTTTTATGTATAAATAATTGTCGAAATCGATTTCCATCAATTCTGCAGTGTTTGTACAATCTAATTCTTCTTTGATCTGCTCCTCCGTTTCCGACATTTCTTCCAAACGATGTTCTTCTTCTTCAAGTTCATCATTATCTTCTCCAACATTACAAATTTCTGATGATTGTTCTGCAGATTGTATCGCTTTGTTTTCTCAAGGTTTCCTTTCGCAGTTTTTACAAATTTGAGTAAAACTTGAGTAAGCGAAATTTTATCAACTGTTTTTGACACCATTTTCCATACCTTTTTGCTCCTTTCTCAAATAGCACAATTACTGTCATATGGTGTATCAGGGATGATATTGGTTTCACGACCATCTAAAGTACTGGCATTGTGGTTAGTATTATCAAAAACATATTGGACAAATGCATCTTCGATTTTAGTTTCTTGTGGATGAATAATAGTTGAAGCTTCGTGGAGTTGGATATTATGGTAGGACGAACATACTCCTAATCTGTTTAATAAACTTATAGCTAATTTCGATCTCGTCTTACGATAGATGTACGTTCCTAAAGATAATTGAAGACATGAGATAAATGATTTTGGGCGAAGTGCTGATATAATAGAGTGGGCAAGATTTTCAATTTTGATGTAAAGTGAAGATTCATTAGACTGCTCCTTTCTATTTGTTATTATTAATCTATGTAAAAAACTATTAAGAAGTGGAGGTATGTCTGATGCAACAGTATCGAGAAATGCCTGAGGTGCAGGATAAGTTGTTGTGTTGTATTGAAATTTCTTAATTTCATCTTGTAAAATCTCGGCACATACTTGAAGTATAGTTCGTTTCGCGGATTCACTGAGAGACTCACTAACACCATACCAATCGCGACAAATTTGTGCCATATTGTGATATTTATAATAGATTAAAGGTTCTTTGCCTTTATGTTGGAATATAAAAATATCATCTGCATATTTTTTTTTTAAATGTCGAAATAAAGTTCGAGTGCAAATTTGATTATTCTCTTCATCACCCATTAATGCTTGTAAAGTCGACAAATGAAATTTAAATTCACCACTTGATTCGATATGTTCATATATTCTTTGGAATATAATATCTGTTTCTTTAATTTTGGGACATGAAGGTTTTTTGTAGAGTAATAATATTAATTTTCTATAACATGCTGTATGATATCGTGCCTTTGATGCAACAATAGATTCGATGCTTTGTAGACGTGCGATAATAGGAGCTCCAAAAGAATTATCATGTTCTCTAGCAGCAGCAATTAAACGATCTTTAATTCTGTTTTCGCTGACGATCGATCCAGGTTTTCTTTTATCCCATACATTTCCACATATAAAGCATAGTTTGTCGAATTGAAAATCATTTTGAAATTCAGAGAATGATGTAGATGATCCAGAGGCGGAGGGGGAAGAGGGTATTACGACTGCTGCTGATTGCAGAGTAGAAACTATTTTAGAAGATATTGGCAAAGACATTGTGTTGGGTTTTTTTACCGACTGCGTTTCACGTCGCGAAGATGATACAGCGTATCGTTTCCGACAGTTAAGGTGAAAAGTATAATTTTGTTTACCAATCCATTGCTTCCATTTATCGTCACCTTTTTCTTGGCTTTTTTTAATCAACGTTTGTAGTCCTTTTTCATAGACCACAGTAGTCGAATCAGCTGCCAGCTCTCGCAGACAAATGGAACATAAAAGTGAAGAATCCATTATATTTTAACAATCTGCAATAAAATGGAAATGTTGGCATTAAAAAAAATGAATTTTCGAAGTGAAAAAAAATGTATGCCGAAAAAGGACATGATAAGATTATAATTTATTGCAATAGTATGTGTTATGTAAGATTTTTAAAATCATAATAACGAACTGATCGGAAAAGAAAATGAAATTAAAGCCAAAAGAAAGCATAGAATATGAAGTGGACAGGGACTGAAACAAATTTACATCACGTAGTAAACAATAATAATTTATCGTTAGGATGATCAATGCTATATATCATTTATATGTAATTATACACTTATACTTGATTAGAACCTTAATAGAAATTTATTTTAAGTAATGACGTTCTTCTGAGTTTTGAAGATCTAGAGAAGATGAGTACATATGAATTAGCAAAAAAATTTAAAGCTGTGGCATACAGTTATGTGCGACTTTATGTCATAAAATTGAACGTTAGAAAAGGTCTGTCAGAGTCGAGCTGTTAGTTAAGCTACCGGAGAAACGTTTTAAAGTCAAAAGTACCCAATATACCTGACTTCAAAGGTAATAGGGAGCAGTTCGAATCTCTTAGATACGTCATAACGAAAAATAATTACATTGACATACATTAATATTGCAATAACTGACATTATGAACAATGAATATACTGAGATAAAACAGTTATTATGATGGATATTTACCTTATACTCAATGAAGTATGTATATTCGTTGCGCTGAACACGTGGAAACACTGCAAAAGAATTTTAAATGCTCTGATAATCGTAATATCTGCAATATTTATGTACACTATCAAAGTATAACACGCACAAACACAATTATTATTATTTAGAAAGAACGTTGAAAAAAATTCGATAAAGAATTACTAATATTCTGTTAATGCAAAAAAACGCACCAAACTCACAGGATGTTGATGGTAAAGTGGCGTCAGTAAATGACGCTGAAGCGGAGGCAAATGGACTTTGTTTCTTCTATTGCAGTCTTACCTATTGTATTACATAGGGTAAAAAGAACAGCGCGTGCGCTACATCAGAAATATGCTGCGTCAGAGAATAGAGATGTCTATTCTCTGGCTGCGTGTACAATCCAAAGGGCAAAATTTATTGCCATCGTCGTTGTGAGAGGGAGTAGTTCATTGACTAAGGCATGGATCTGACACTTCCATACCTGCATCCCTACTCTGCCGCAGACCATCATGCCTTTAAAAGGTCTGCGCATGTGCGTGAATGAGCCTATTGAAACATTGGTCGTGTTCGCTGGCTTCATCGCTTCTATGCGCATGTGCACAGACAATTTTGAACTCATAATCTAATCTCGCACAGTTCAAAATTGTCATTGCATATGCGCACATAAGTGATGAGGCCAGCGAACACGACCATCCAGGTGGCCTCACATTTTTGGAGCAAAAAAGAAAAGGAAAGTTATTTTTTATTCATTCTTGTAATTATACTCTCTAGAAATGAAACAGTAAAAGAATGAAATAGATTGTTGGATTAGTAAATATAATACAACTGATTCAATCAGTGGTTTAATTTACACGGCAAAATCAATAAATATTCATTGATTTCGCAGTGTATTTCATGATTTTTACTGTTTCATATGCAGAGAGTAAATTTCATCAATAAATTAAAAACAAAACTTTTTACCTATTAAGAAACATAAATGATTACATTCTCAAAACATAACAAGTTAAACATATATTTCATTTTTCATATCGACAATCTCCGATCACTAATAAAAATGACATGTTTTTTATGAGACATTGAGGAACTTGGGAGAAGATGGTTTTCTAACTTTTTAAATTACTGATACACATAATAATTCGATCCTAGCAATTAGGAATATTTTCATATCGACGTAATCAAATTTATGGTAACTTTTACAATAAATTTATCTGCGTTCATTAGCAGCTTCGCAAGATTCATTTTGCCCCGCATGCTACCAATAAAAAAAATTGTAATACATAAATTAATGTATTTTCATATGATGATTGACAATCGGTGACATTTGTTGTTATCAGCACTTCATTGGTTTGTTTTTATTAATGTATGACTGAGACTAGAGCACATCAGATATCTTTCTTCAATTATAAAATCTTTCCTGTTATTTTTAAAAAACTTGTCGCCTTTTTTAAACGTTTCTCAAATATTATTTTACAATATTTAAAACCTTCCATGGTAAATAAAAATATCATTAGAATATATACAGTATATGCATCTGTCTCAGTTGTATTTGTCAGCAGAAGCTTCTTGTGCATTAAAAAAAACCGGATTCCTTGAAATTTGACAGTGAAAAGACAAAGATGTTTATTGGAATAAAATATTGTAGTATGAACCATAAACTTGATTGGTAGAAGTATCACGTTTATCCAACTCAAATGCACTGTGCACCACACCTGACTATGTTCCATGAGAGAAGTGGAGGAGAATAAAATAAACATTTTTGACAGAAGTTACATTTTTATGTTTCCGTTCAAATTTCTACTTTAAATGACTTTTAAAAAATGGTATAAAAACCATGTCTTCGTTAACTTTTTTATTGAGCATTATCAAACTGATGGAATAATATGTTACGACAAATGAATCAATCATATTCAATTTTACATTTGTGATTTTATTACTGTAAAACTGAAGAATATTCCAATGATTGCAATGTGAAGTGAATTTTTATTACTATAATAGCATTTATTAAAAAATTTTTTCATATCGGTTGAAAGCTTTGATGACTGTGAAAGAACTGTCGATAAATTTAAAAGCTGAATTCCGAAATAGTACGATTGTGTTCAATTGGTTTTCTTTGTACTGTAATATTCCAAATCGAGTTATCAACTGTCAAAGTTTAAAGAATTTATTATTGACTGAATTTACATAAGCATTTGTGAAAGTTCGTAAACGATTTTATTTATCGTAATATTGTCAACATTCACATCTTTATATTATTCATACATTTAGAAAAAGAATTGAGAATGTTGTATTTTTTCAAAATATTTCATATGAAAATTTATGTTATATTTATTTTCAATAAATAATTATGACGATTTTTCTTATGTATTAAGCAAACTTATGAGTGTACAAGGAACGGATTTTTGTAGCGAGTATTATACAAGCAACTCAGATAGGATTAGGCCTTGAAGCCCACGATATAGTGCTATAGACTCATACTTAGTGGAGAATTCCCAGTGCAACTTATCAAAGAACTCAATTATAAAAGTTACAATCATCTATAGTACACGCTTTAATAAATCTTTTTCATTATATCATTAATTCATTTTACCATTAGTGTAAACTTATTAATATTTATTAATGACATCATTGAAAGTGATGACAATGTTCATCAAGTAACGATAAACTTATATATTCATTAACGTGGATTTACAACTTTTCTTGCACATACTCTAATTTAATATGAACTCATTTTGACTCTGAATTTTACTCATTTCAATCATACTTTATTTAGTTTATAATTGTTGTGATCATATTTATCTCAAAAAATAATTAATTCTTGCCAATTCATTTGCATAATCTATATCAAGTTAATTCCAATGCTGTTTGATTTTCCCAATGCAGTTATTGAATAAAATTGATAATAACACTTGGAAATTGTATTTACTTTATAGTTATCAAGAAATATTTGAATTAATGGTCGAGGATAGTATTGGAAATTCATTTTTGTCATTAGCACACGGTAGAAGACAATTTGCTAGATAGTGCTTCGACAAATGATAGTTGTATTATTCATGCATAAAATAATTATTGACCGTGTAATATATTATCAAATTATTATCAAGTCGATTTGTTAAGATCTGTTTAGATCTTTATTTTCAAGAAAATTAATATCCAAAAATTCCAGGGTTTGATCCGTCGAAATCTTTGAAGATCAAATGTATGGTGAGTTTGTCCATTTTGTCACTATCCTGAAACTATTATGCTATGGTTGCACAGGATACTAAAGAGGACTCTAGGTAGTGTACAATGATTGTGCAGGTTACTAACAGGACACTATAACTACACTGCAAAAAAAAATTTAGATTAAGCAAAAAATATTTAATTTGATCATTAACATTGAAATTTCAAATAGTCGCAATGAAATATTTCTTCGAAATTATGAATATTTTATTAAAATTATTTTATTTAATGAAACAAATAGAATGTCATTTGTTTTTGTACATATCATAACATTGAAACAAATGACAAAATGTGTTTTTGATAACAATATTAATGGATCTAATAAAATATCATCTTGAGAATACTCCACGTTCCTTTTATTGATTAAATAAAAAATTCTTTCGTTTAACGAAATTTTTTCCCTAGTATATAAGTGGATTTTAAAATTATTGTTATGATTTTTTTCTACTTTTTTTATTGATAATTTTTTATTATTACTGACCTAATATAGCAAGAACATAGAGGAATACAAGGCAAGACGGCTTTTTCAATTTTTGGTAACTTTGTGAAGCTGAACGGATCCTCCAAACCTGTTAATACGAAAGTTAATATTGATTTGAAAATTTGCTTATCACTAAAATTACATCATTATGTGTATAATTCATTTTCAAATTCAAAAAGCCGTTTTGCCCCGTATTCCCCTATTTTGAATCAATTAGAGATATTCTTATGTAAGTCCAAGAACTGAAATTGTAGTTCACAATTGGACAACATCTAATTGTTCAAAATATAAATGTAGATTAAATCACGTACTAGATAGAAATACTACATTTGCAATTAAACAAAGTTCTACTCCAACTAATCTTGAACTAGATTATATTTGTATTGTGGGTGATAACGATAGAGATTTGGAGCTCGAAAAATAATCTGTACTATGCTGGTGGTGGTATTTCACATTGAGAGACTGATAAAGAAGATCGATTCCTGCTTTTACTAGCTACTCTTAAAGTTAAAAATTTTACGCTTGCTCAGAGTGCAGTAATAAATCACCTACTTTCTCAGTGAAGCCAGATTGTTTGACATCTTTCGGTAACACGAATGATGATATACGTACATTTATGAAACGTACGTTTCATTTGATATACATTGCAGGTAAAAAAACTGTTATCCCAGCTTATTTAATAAAACTTATTTTTACACGGAGAACATTTTTTCACTAAATTTAAATGCAAAGAGTGACAAGTGCATGTTTCGAAATTTAGAAGTAAAAATATTTCTATTCGATAGTAAATTTTGAGTTCTTATAAGTAAACTCAAGATTTAAAAGATGTCTTAGTAGAATAATTACTTATGACAACTCAAAATTCACTGTTGAATAGTAATATTTTTACTTCTAAATTTCGAAACATGCACTCGTCACTCTTTGCATTTAAATTTAGTGAAAAAATTCTCTCCGTGTATCAGAGCAGTTGTTTTTGTGGAAAAAAAGGTGTGACCTTCAATTTTTGGTGGGTGTAGAAAAGTTATGTTTTTACTGTAACACAGGCACGCGATGTAGTTCTAACTACTACAAAATATTCTAGATATATGTAAAAGAACATAACATCCTTCCTAGTAAACTATAAATTAACGCGCACAAAGCGTTAAATTTCTCGCATAAATAAAATAACCGATAAGGGAAAAGTCACTCATTTTTTCGATATATTTCGATTATTAGCTAACTTCATATGTTCATGTAAATTCATAGATAGGATTAGAGAAACTTGAACTGAGCAATCAATTCAATGCAAAAATTGTTGTTAAAGGTACCCCATATTCATGCATGGGTGTGCATTGAGAAGTTCCTTAATCATTGTAAACTCCGTTTATAAAATTGTAAATTATTATGTTAATGATTTAAAATTAGATTCAAGGCACTTCAATAAAAAAAAAAGCACGCAAAATGTGAAAGTTCTCTTTCCGAGAAAAAATTTAATACGTTTATAACATTTAATATAATTATATATTCATATGAAGGAAATTAGATATTGGAATAAGATAGAAATATTATGGAACACTTTGCTAATTGTATTTAAGTGGTTTTATATATTGTATTATTCAGTATTTAAAAGATTTGTCTGCTTACAAAGACCATCTCATAACAACTGACTCAAAGAGATAAACTAACGAATGCTGGGCCTACAAATTCTCTCATCAGATACAGTAACAGTCACAACTACAGGCACAGTACTAAAAACTTGAAGTCTAAAAGAACAAGCATTAATGACTTAAGCCATTAAATTAATATTTTCTTCTTAACATTAATATTAATTACTTTTCCTTTACAAACCTGTCCAACTACTGGGTCTTTTACCTTGATGCGACTCAACATAAAAATAAAGAAAAAGTACAAAAAAATGCATTCTGTGAATTATTTGTCATCCAATAAATTTTTACTAAATGTTTTTTCACCTCTTCATTTAAGTTATTGAATATTTCAATGGGGTTAATCATTCAAATCATAGTTAGCTAAGTTTATTTCAAAATATCTTACATTTTATCAGCAGGCAAATGATGATTGATTGATTCTAAGTCGTCCAAAGCGAATTCATATTCCCCTAAATCCATTAATACCTCAGCTCTACCAAGTAAAGCAAGAGGAAGATCCAGACCTTTATCAAGTTTGTCGGATGAATCTGTAATTGAACAATTCAAATAAACGTTCCACCTCAGTTTCCATTCTTTGATATGAAAGAATTAAATTTGCTGTTTGATATCAAATATTGAGTACATTAAAAATAAGATTGAGCTATAATTAATAACTACATTTAGAGCTTTATCTTAAAATGTTAATAAAGATGATAATGATGTTGAAGAAAACAATAATTTTCCTGATTCAAATTATTTTTAAGGCGTTTTAGAAGAAATAAATACATTGTAATTCATTGAAGTACCTGTGTAAATAATTTTTACAATAATTTTATTCTCCGTGCTATGAATATTCACTGAAACTCTCTTGAATACACAGGAGTAATTTTGAGGATTATTCGAAAATGCAGTGTATGTAACTCATCAAGGGTAATTTAGTGATAAGACAACACGCGATAATATAATGATAGATTGTAGATTCTCTGATTAACCAGATAGTTTCAACTTTGAATCATTTTCGTTCATGTGTTCTTTCTATAAAAGAATAGTTTTTTTTATTTATTTAATTCGGATTGAAGAAGAACAAAAATTGATCAAAATAAAGAATTTATAGACCTTTGCTAATAGTTTAATTTAACGAAAACATTTTTTAATTATTTCTATTTTTGAAGAATCAAAATTCCAACAAAATGCAAAAAAGTACATTAATTATATTCAGAATATCAGCATGATCTTATTGTAAATAAGTTAGAAGGAATTATATTCCGCCATTAATATTGTGAAATATAAGTAGAGGAGAAAAAATATTAAGAAGGAAAGTTTATTAAAATGACAGATTCAAAGATATAACGTCTAATCAAAGCTAGTCTTAGTCTTACACATAAAAATAAACAAACCAGTCACGTGTTGCTAACTAAAAATTCTGTCGTTTGTCAATCCATTTATAGATGGACACACATATATTGTACAATATTATTAAATATTTGATTATATGTAGAAGAAAGATGGATAAAGTGAAAAGTGAAGGAAAAGCTTAAATTAACAAATTAGTCAATATGTTGTAAAATATTTGAATCTGTATGATTGATCATCGACTGTATTTGTTTTTGTAAGTTTATAATTAAGACTAGAGCTAACTACATGTCTTATTTGATCTATTAATTTTCCTATCATAATTAATAAACAATTTTTTCAATCTTCTATAATAGTTCGAGAGTCATTATTTCATTCTCGTTATAATATGAACGAACATCAATCTTTTATAATACATTAATAAATTGATAAACAAAAAGCTCAATAAACACTTTTAAGCTTATTTAAATAAATTAGTTAATTTTTTCGAACGTTTCCCTTTATCCTTCCTCTCCCTATAAATCTTTTTGCTGACAGTCGACAAATTTTTTATCAGCAACGCACGGCTGATTTGTTTATTTTCAAGCTCTGACGGAAACTTGAGCTAACCAGACTCATTTTTCTCTGTCATTGAATTACCCTGCCATTTCAAATAAACGTTTTAATTTCTTCTTATAATTCATCGAGTTATTATTGCATCGACTAATTAGATGACTCTAGGTCTTGCGCAAAATGTTTTTATGGAGAAAAACTGCCGGGACTGAAAATCAAATTTGTGAATTGTAGGAGTATATTTTCTATAAATTTATACCGTTTGTCATCTTATTCAGGATAATGAATTTAAGAGAGATGAAAAGAGGAAATTGGGTCTTTGATTTCATATAATAACACGTGGACCAACAATTTATATTTGTTTATAGCAATGATTTATTTCCCATGATGGCTAACAGGGCCAGACGAGTATAAAGAAGTGGGACTAAGGAAGTCTCCTGCAAGCTAGTGAAGCTATCACATATTACTTGTTTTAATTATTAATAAGTTTTGGCTAGTATTAGTGTATTATTATTATTATTATTATTTTTATTAACCTTTGAATATGTCTCAATGATAAACTATGTTCACGCTGAGCATTATTACTCAATAAATTCTATGTGTAAAATTTAATAAACTTATATATCCATTAAATCTTCATATATTCTATGATATATTCTATAGAATATCTTTTTATTTTTCCTTACAAATAGACTGGAATCTCAATCCAACATTTTTTCAAAAAAGTTTTTGCTTTGTTTGTTTTGAATAAGTTCATAAAAAAAATCAATTGTTAATAATATTAGTATATAAGTTTTTAATGAGTAGAATAAAATGTATTTTAAGCTTCCTGAGAAGCTTTTTTCCCCAATAGCTGTGTTAATTATATACTAGTGTTTAGATTAGGCTAAAAATGTTACCTTCAATTGGGGCGCGTAATACGGCTTGGCTAAAGCATAGAAGAGCTCTTTCATTATCTTTACATGATGCTAAATGAAACCCTTCTTGCCTTTTAGCTTTCGAAATTAACGCATCTTTATCTCTATATAAGCATTTTACTCTATTAAGAGTCTCTAGAACCACATTTTTTATTTTTGGCTCCGTAAAAATGCAACGTATTCGATCATCGTCTTCTGACAATTTGTTAAAAATTTTTACAATCACTGCCTTTCCAATATCTTTAATTACACTTTCAATAAAATCATGAAAAAAACCTTTCTTTCTTGAGCAAACAGTTTCCAACGAACAAAGTTCTCTGTAAGAATTGTCTGATTCTTCCATGATGTTCTCTGGATTTCGATATTTAACTATTTCAACTCTTCAGAAACCTTTTAACACTATTTATTCAATTTTTTCATCCACTTATTTTTCGATATTATTCACTAATTTATTCGTTGTCTTTATTCTCTAGCTATTCAATTAAACTTTTGAAACAGTACTAAATTTTGTTAGCAATTTATTGATGATTTGATAAGTAGAATTTGAAACGTACGAATGTTGGTTAAACAAGAAATTTCTTTTACTCTCATTCTTTTCAAAAGTTTATCTTTCCAATTTGTTCACTAATGATTATTCAATGAATGATACTGCTGATTTTTTTCCAAGCTTTATTTGAATACACTTTGCTAATGTCATTTAAATAAAGTCATTTTTGAATAAAAAAGCATTTGAATGGAGTTCAATGTTCTTTTAGAAAAAATATTCAAGTCAGCACTATGATGAAAAGCAATTGGATGATAAATTTAAATCGTTTTTACTCTTAAACTGAAGATAATTGTCGGAAACTTTTTATTATTTTCTCCATACAAGCGTACAAGTTTACAAGTAACCACAGACTGAAGAGAGCTGTCTGTATAAAACAACATTTTTAGATCCAAGTATTTCTGACCGTGTTATTTCTGTCATGGAAGAGCAATACGAGAATTGAAAAGGCATACTATTCTGTAAGACACCAAAGAGACATTAAATTTAATAAATCTGTAAGTGATTTTGTTGAGTATAGTCAAAGAATCAATGTGAAATTTTCTGAGAATATAGCGTGAAAATTTTATTTCTATAATTGAAGTGACAAAAGTTATTTCAAAGATAACACAAATCTTGTCTTTTAAGATTCCCTTCTGAACGAAAGCTATAAAGGATGTAATAATGGATTTTCAATTTTTGCAACATGAAAAAATACCTTTTGATAACATAAAGTAATCATTTTTATTGCCCATTTTGATTGATAAGAATATGCTGCAGGAGACTTTTTATGATTATTTTATTTTTAAAGCGACCGAGATTTGGTTTATAAATGAATACTCTTGTCTGTGTGTTATATAATGTATAAACTGAATGAAAGTACGTACATATTACATTTTCATAGTTTTACATATTTAATACACGTTATGAAAGAAGCACTTTTCAGATAAAAAATTATTCTACGACTTGTAGAACTGTGGAAACATGGTAGAAATTAATAAAAAAATAAATCTTTTTTTATCTTCTTATATAAAGTGTCATTTTTTCAAGATAATTTTAATGCTTTGATCTCATGACTGAGTAAAATATGGTATTTTAAAGCTCTGTTGTCTCTGTCAAGACATAGCTTTCTTTGTGGGAGGTGGAAGAAAAAGAAGGGGAAATATTCTGGGAGGTCAATATTTCTCATTAGGTCGAAATATTTTACATCCTGGGTCGAAACATTTAGTCTGTTTTCAACCAAGTAAGTCTGTTTTTAGTTGGTCGATGTAATTTTATTCTTTCTAGTTTGTCTCCCAAGCAGGACTTGCTAAATTGATGTTATTATCCAGTCATGGCATTTCCTATCAATGGGCCAATGCTATAGCTATGGTGTCAATGATAAACTACAGCTGGACCCATTGTATAACTTTGAGCTGTTGTTGATTTAGCATTTTCTAGTGAATGTTAACAATTACAATGTGTACAGCTCAAACCAGATTAAAATTTAAACTTGGAGAATTCTGAGTATTTTATTTTTATTCATTAATTATTCCAATGATATTTTTGTCACTTTATTAATAGTCTACTCTTTAGAAAAACATTAGTAAAAATCACTGCAAAATAGTAAATATTCATGGCTAGGAAAAGAATATTAATGATAATTATGTTACTGTGAGTAGGATGGAGTAATAATTTAACCAGATAAAATAAAAATATTATTTACAAGTACTGCATAGTATATAATAGTGGTAACAATGGCTTTCATGTAGTAACAAAATCAAGCAATTTAGACTTGGGTTAGTTTCAGTCTGATTGTTGACTATTCCAACCAAAAACAGACTTTTCGTATTAGCCTAAAAACAGACTAAACTTTTAGACCCGGGTATTTCTTGGAAATAGTTTGGATCTATTGCCCCTCTGTACTTCATGTCTCAAACTGTACCGGAAGTTACTTGAATATTTCTGATATGAGTGCTGGGTATATTTATTCAACTCGAAAAGTCATGACAGAAATGTTCCGTGTTAAACTGTATACTTTTTTTTTAATGTTAAAGCTACACTGAGAAAATTTTTCTTGAAAAATTAACTACAATGTATAAGTGAAATTTACTAAGCAGTTTAGGAAAGCTACTTCACTATCGGTTTTTGAGTAAATTTTACCAAGCAATTCATATTAAATTGTACCTCAACATTTCTCTTTAAATTTCAACGGATTTTAGGGATATTTTTTACTGTTATTCTCGGTGAAATTCTCTACTGTAAAAATTTTTTTTTACATATCTTATGCATTTTAAAAAATTATTCGCCATCAGAAACAATATCACTTGCACTATTATCACAAATTTAGTGAACAAACACCACAACTCAAAATACTTCTACGTTTTTCACACAAACTGACCAACTTGATCGTTTCTCAAAGAAGTTTAAGGAAATATTAAAATTGAACATCCACGGACCTCAAATTTGTCAAAAGAGTGCATACTCTTAAATAGAAGAAGAATGATTTTTTTGTCAGTTATGGGAGTTGAGGCCAGTTTTATTGCTGTATGGAATTTTCCCGAGTATAAACAAGACTACGCTCACGTATTCATTTATAGTTATCCGAATAGTAGGCAATGTGGTCGGAAAATTTTAATCCTGAGCCTGGTATTTATTCAACTAGGTGTTGTCCATTTTTTTCATGATGAGTGAAAGAACATCTTTTTCATTTATTTATAAGTCTAAAGATATTTTTTGTAGGGGAAATTTTACTAAACGTGCTTGGTAAAATTTACCCAGATAGTTTTGTAATAATATATACGTATAGTTTGTAAAATTTCTTAGATTCTGGAGGTATCACGCGGTTTACCTAAAGTTAAGGGTACTTTTTCACGAAAAATTTTCTCACTGTAGTTATTATTTTTTATACTTGATTTATTGATTAATAAATTACATCAAACACACTTATATCGATTATTAAATTATATTAAACAAACGAAATGATGACGTTATTTTTTTGCCCCTTCAAGTTGTAGTTACATAATCTTAATAATAAGTTGACGATAAGAATTAGATAATAGTTATCATAGTAAGCTTTAAGTGAATATTTAAGTTAAGTATTAAAGTTGATAATTTGCATTGATAAGATAGAATTCACATAAAAAATGCAATATGATTGGTATTAGCCAAAGTTAGAGTTAAATTACATGCTATTATTTATAATTTTTTTACTAATTATTGATTAAAAGTTTTATAATTAATCTTCAGTTATTGGTAAGTGCAAACTCCATGTCAAAATGCCTGACAAAAGGGTTCGAGTAATCCGCTACGTTGTCTGAATCTGTGATAATATCACACAACAGACACACCAGAAACAATTCATAAAGAGACAAAGAAAACATTCAAAACATCTCCACCATGATTTTTGATATATCCTGCATAGTAGTAAAAAATATTTGTTGAACAAGTGGTAAGTAAAGATATGAAATTGGAGTACATGCTGAATTTATAATTAAAAAATGGTAAACCAGAATTATGTCAATCTTTTTAGTAGACTGAAATAAGATCCATTTATCTTGAGGATGAAATGACATGGAAATAAATTTTACAGGATAAAAATGACTTAGGGATGGATTTCACTGGATGAATAAGTATAGAAACTATAGCATCGGTACTTATTAATATTAATTTAGAGTTAGTTTGCAATTTAAGTCATGCAACACTGTTTTACTTGTTGGAGTTTGTCAACTTATAGAAATAAAAGATAGTTTTAATCATCTACTTATGCAATGAATTTATTTTAAAACTTGAGGTTTAAAAGGAAAAGGAAAAAATGCAAAGATAAAAAAATTGAATTTCATTTTACTAAAGAGAAAAAAAAATAGAATAAGGTATGTTTTTATATGAAAATTTCTACTACTTGAAGTTTGGTTCAACGAACATTAGATTTGTTTTGCCTCAGGATTTTAATTTGTTCCAGTTTCCTATGTGCATACATGCATATATTAGTCCTGAAGGTTTAATATGAAGGTAGTTTCTCATCAGAGCTATCTAACTTGACCGTCTAAGAGGTAAAGCAGATGATAGAGATTTTATAATTATCTTTTAAAAAGAGGATAGAGAATTATAGGATGAAGGATTCAATAATCTGAACGACTGAGCGTCTTACACATCATCGGGATATAATTTTTATATGTTGTCATTCATTTTTAGTTACCGTTGCTGAAAGAGACATTCATTATGTCGATTACTTTTTCTATTGCAAGGTATGTTCAATTACAAGTGAACTTACTTATGTTCTATATATTCTCTATAATTTTACATGTAAATTTTATATCCTATTCATTTTTAAATCAATTATTTCGAAGAATGAAATTGGAGAGTTTATAGGTCAAGAATTGTAATTTGTATACAATCAAAGTAATGGAATAAAAAAAACCATTAACTTATGTGACAATGTGCGATGTATGTAAAACATCTAAAGTTATTGAGTAGTCATAAATTTTTATACATTATATACGATTCTTATGCATGACCAATAAATCGTTCAAGATTGTATTTTATCAGATATCGATACATGATTAATATTGCAAAATAATTATATTGCTTCATGCTTATGATGATTGACATACGACAAAGTTTGTTGTTAGCAACATTTGACTGGTTTGTTAATATCAGTTTATGACTGAGACTAGAGAACATAAGACATCTTTCCGAAATTTGTACGATTTTTCCGAACGATTCGAAAAATATTTTAAAAATTCACAAACATCAAACAATATTTTAAAACTTTATAAATAATTCAAGATGTTTTTAGGAACTTTTTAAAAATTCTAAAATATTCTGAAATTGTCTAAATATAAATTCATTCTCAATATCAGAAAAGATACACCTTTTCTAATATTAAAGAATACCTTATACTCATAGGTATGGGGTATTCTAATAAAAACTTATTACACGGAGAGAATTTTATAATAGCGTCAATTATACTCGATTTGTATTTTTCATTATTTGAAATGATGATTGAATTTGTAAAAGTCGAAATTATTATTATAATAATCTGATAATTACAATTAATACATCATAAGGTAGAAATTACAACAATGAAGTAGTTGTACAACTTCTTATCTGAATGGTAATGTTTACTATTCGAGGTAGTAAAACTTTTTAAAAATAAAAATAACACTAAGCGATGAACATAAACATTCTTATGAATGCTATGCATTGAAAAATAAATTGTATAGTACACACTTATTTGTTGATATGTTCTTGTATTTTCTAACAATTACAAGGTTTATAACAATTGCAATTTTTATAAATGTTTAAAAGAGCTAATGTAATAATTTTAAATATCTTTTTCGATAATAATTAAATGAAATTCAATAGAATATTTTACA